ACAGTACTGAACACTTATGGTCTCTGATCTGACCAGAGCAAAACTTTTCTGTTGTTATGGTTTTGTTCACTTCTACTTAATGAAGTCTAAGATTACATCAGCTTTTTTGGTTTTGACATCACACTGTTGACTTATTGAACTTGGAATTAATAAACCCAACTTCCATATGAGGCCTTGCCATCTTGGTCACTGCAACCTTCCCCGCCAGTGCATTCTAATTATCAGTGTCCTTTTTAAAAAATCATACCAACCAGACACAATACTCCAAATGTAATGTGGACAGCACAGAATCGGGAGGACTCATCTCTCTTAATATGTATACGCTTGTTTCTTCTCATGAAGTCTAAGATTTTCATTATTATTTTAACAGCAACAATTTGTTTGCATTTATTTCTAAAGATTTTTTAACTGTCATCTATTTCTAAGTATTTAGAGTATTCCCCATTAAAGTTTTTCCCCTAACCTTTTTTTGGAGGGATATTTTCCCTTTGTTCTCCTGTTCCACTTTTATATGTGTTATACACACATACATATAGATATATATGTAAATGTATACAAGTAAATATAAATGTTTTCTATATATGCTACCATGGTACCAGGTGATCCAACAAAGTCAAAAGCTATACTCTGATTGTCTTGATAGAGTAATAAATTTCATTTTTTTATTCTCTAAATATTATTCAGCCTTTAATGATACTTTATACCTTTTGACAGCCCACCTGCATTCATATAGATTCATGCTTTGGAGTGCACCCTTTTTATATTCCAATATATTCAAGACATTCTAAGATATTCAAGAAATTAAAGACATTCAAATTTTCATTTCAAGCATCGTATAAGAATATAAAAGAAGGTAAACTCTGTCATACAGTGAGCCTTTTTAAAAATTATTTTAGAACTGTATATAAATTAAAATTCAATTCAGCAAACACTTATTAAATCAAAATAGTATTAGTTTATAAATATATAATTTGTACCATTTTATCTTAGCTTAGGAAAATGGAATGAAATCATAGATTACAAATGTTGCTAATCAAATAACAGACATAAGTTATAAATTCAAATCAGCTATGCCTTCTGAATCTTAGCATTGTACTTCTAGTTGTTGTTCAGTCATGTCTGACTCTTCATTAACCCTTTTGGGGTGTTCTTGGCAAAGATATTGGAGTGGTTTGCCATTTCCTGCTTCAGCTCATTTTACAGAGAAGGAAACTGAAGCAAACAGGGTTAAGTGACTTGCCCAGTGTCACACAGCTGGTAAGTGTCTAAGGTCAGATTTGAACTCAGAGTCTTCCTGACTTCAGGCCCTACAGTCTATCCACTGTGCTACCTAGCTGCCCAGCATCTTACTAAATCATTGCAAAAAGCATCTAATAGTAAAAACCAACAAATTGGTATCAGTGCCTTTTAATTGCTTTAAAGAATAAGATTACTCTGCCAGAAAATCTTTCCAAACATATGTAACATTGCAAAGAAAGCAATGTTCAGTAATTAATATGTCTAAAGTTGTTATATCCATCTATCAAGGAGACATGCTTGCCACAGTTACTCAAAAGGACAAATAGAAGTATCAACGGATAGGAGGGAAGATAAGCCTACAGTGTTTCTCAAGGTTCTCCTGAGCAGTTTTGTATATGTAAATGACTTTATTTTTATTCTTTATTGTTATCCTGATTCATATGTTTTTATATTTTTGTCATTGTATACATTTTATGCCTTGACTTAATTTTTTTTTTTTTTTTGGTGAGGCAGTTGGGGTTAAATAACTTGCCCAGAGTCACACAGCTAGTGAGTGTTATGTGTCTGAGACTGGATTTGAACTCAGGTCTTATTGACTCCAGGGCCAATGTTCTATCCATTGTACCACCTAGGTGTCCCTTGACTTAAATTTTTAAGGGAAAAAGTGAATTTAGATTTTTTAAATTAGCATACACTTTATCAAATGCTATTTTTAAAAATTAAGTATATCTATATACTATTGTAATATGTAGAATATTTTATTTCATTAATTTCTATCACTTAATTTATTGAAGATTAACTTTGAGCACTTTTTTTCTGTCATGATTTTTTTCGGTTGATATTCTGCCTTTCAGATTCCATAATTATTTCTATTTTCAGTAGTTGTAGCAGTATTTATCATTGTTAATAGTAAAAGTTAAACTTGTTACTTTGTTCCTAGACAAGCCTCCCATTTGGGCTCCTTACTTCCAGTATCTCCCCATAGCAATATATTTTACATAATGTTTCTACATTAATCTTCTTAAAGTGCAGCTTTGATCATCTTACTCATCTGCTCAGAGACCTTCAGTGTAAGCTTAGGCAGTGTGGAGAGAGATATGCCTTCAAATAATAGGTTAATAACCAGTTTGTACTCTACTGTGGTCAGGACTACCCCACCCCCATTCTGGGATATTGTACTCACTTCATTTCTGGGAACTACATTAAGCAATCTGGGAGATGATGGGCCTTGAGTTCATGTGTATGTGAAGTCAGTTAAGGAAAATGGCAATATATAGCCTGGAGGGAGACCTTTTCTACTTTCCCATTTGCCCTAGAAGGCTTCTGAGGTCCCTTCCAACCCTGAAATACTATCATTCTGTGACTCCCGAATGACAGTGGGACAAATTAAAATTCCTCCACCTAGAAATTAAGTCCCATGATAGACTTGTCTCAACCTCTTTTTTTGATGTCATTTCTCATTCTTCTTCTACATTAACCACTGTAATCAATCAGATTGGCCTATTCACTATCCCCTAAAACATACTTTCTGCTTTCCTGCCTATATGTCTTTACTCATTGCTATTCATCCTACTTGAATGTCCTCTTTCAACTGTGAAATCGAATTCCTGATCACCAGGGGCCAAAGGCAAATGCTTCTTCCTCTGAACTCTGGTAGAACTTACTCTCTGTACCACTTCTTTGGCACTTGCATTTTACTGTCGTTCTCAGTTTTATTTGTGCAGTTATCTCTTCAATTACTTTGGCAGCTATTAGAGAATAGGCCCTTTATCTTATTCCTTTTGTACTCTCCCCTTTTATTCTTCCCACAAATGCCAATTATTTGAAACAGCAATTTTCACCTCTTTCTTCCTCCTTTTGTTTGCTAGTGTAGTCTTTTGCTCTACCTTTTCTTTTCTCTCCATAAACCCTCAAAACAGAACCTATCCACCCCCTAGGCACTCAATTTTTCTTATTTAAGTCAGTCAAGATCCTTTGTTTTTTAGGGATACCTGTTTCTTCTCTATCAAAGTGTTACATACATCCTCTTCCAGTTGCACAAATAAAGTTGCCTGTCTAGGTTTCTTTTGATTCATGTGTTTGCATTTCAGAGTTTCTATTCAAGTCAGATCTTTTCATCAAAAATGCTTGATAATCTTCTATTCAATTAAAGATCCATTTTTTATCCTGTAGGATTCTTCTCGGCTTTGGAAAATATGATTCTTCTTTGTAAACCCATAACTTTTGCCTTTTGGAATATATATTCTAGTATCTCCTCTCATTTTTAGTAGAAGTTACCAAATCTTCTTTGAGAGCCCTCCACTCTTGCTACCTCCATATAGCAAGCCCTGCTGATTATGCTTTTCTTAAGGCCTTCTCTGGCTTGTTTGCATCCTCTGGCATTGGATTTGCTGGTAGCAATTGTCCTACACTGCTGGCTGCTGGCTGTCTTTCTGCAATTCTTAGATAGAAGAATTCAATTTATATTATTACTCATTGAATATATAGTTAGCATTTGCTTAGTGCTTTACAAAGCAAATCTCCTTACAAATATTGTTTCTTTTTATCATCACAACAACTCTGCTATATAGACACTATTATCATCCTCATTTTACAGATGAGGTTAGTAGGGGTACATAGAGGTTAAGTGACTAGCTCAGGGTCTTACAACCAGTAAGTAGCAGAAGCAGCATCTGAATGCAGGTCTTCCTTACTTCAAGTCCAGTCCTCTCTCCACTGCACCTGCCTTTCTTGATGATTATTCATTCTGGTATGAACTTCTGGGCTTTGCTAGTATAGATGTATGGGAAGTGAGTTGCCAGCCTCTCTGTTCAGGCAACCACCTTTGCCAGAAGTCTGAAAAATCATTCCAAGAACTTACTGCATGCCAGATGCCATGCTAAGTGCTGGGATACAAAATATAAAATGTAGGGATACAAAAATACAAAAACAAGACAGTTCCTGCCCTCACAGAGCTTATACTCTAATAGTAAAAGAAAACAATATATAAAGGAGTAGTGGCCATGTAGGGTTGTTTTCATCTAATATATCAAGGAATGGTGAATGGAGCCATAAGGCAATTTACTGACATGTCCTTTCCAGGAATAGTATGGTTGATTTGATTAGTGTTCCTAAAACTAGAGATAAGGAAAAAAAACTAGAGATAAGAAAGCAAGAGTGGGGTCTGGGGTATGTGGGGAGCTGAAATGAAAGGCACACTCTGTGTTATGATGGGTCTCACCAATGTGGAGCCCAGAGCCCAGGACTCAGGGCAGGAGTTGTAGCAACAAGTTAGAAAGGGGTACATAGTCTAGTGCCAGGAGGTATGGTATGAATGGCCAGAGATAAAAAGTACCTCATTGCTCTTGATGGTTTCAAGTCATCTGACCCAAGTAAATTTCATTCTCAGGTTATGAAAGTACTGGCAGGTAGGATTGTTAAGTCATTATCAGTGATAAAAGATAAGTGAAAAGGGAAGAGATATCCTGTGTGACTTGAGAAGGACAAATATCCCAGTTTTTGAAAAAAGGAAAAGGAATAGAGTTGACAGATTCTAGCTGTGCAGTGGACTTGACTTCAACTTACTGAGATAATTTATCTAGATTTTACCCAAGTATCTGATAAAGGATCTTATACTATTCTTGTGGAAAATATGGATTAATGTAGGCAAAGGAACAATATAAAATGATAAATTCTCAATTGGATGAATATCCAGCCTCAAAAATTAATAATGAATGGTTCAATTTCAGGTCTCCAGTGGAGTGCCTCAAGGATATGTGCTGTTTAACATTTTTATCAATAACTTAATGTGAGTACAAATGATGACCATTCACTAAATTAGCTTTTTTTAAGCACTTACAGTATGCCAGGCACTGTGCTAGGCATTGTGGATACAAAGACAAAAAAATGAATCAGTCCTTAACTATCAAGAAGTTTATATTCTGTTGGTGGAGACAACATGTACATATATAAACATATGCATAACAAATTTCGAGTGGGAGATGGAAGCAGCTATGGTCTCGAGAAAGCCTTCATATAGGACATGAAATTGAAGCCTAGCTTTGAGGAAACTAAGGGTTCTGAGAGGCTGGAGGGAAGAGGAAAGTATTCTAAGCATTCTAGACAGCATGGGCAGAAGAGCTAAAGCCAGAGAGAAAATGTTACATTAAGGACCAGTGAGAAGGCCAGTCTGGCTGTCACAGAAAGTGATTGAAGAGGAGGAATGCATAAAAAGCCTGGAAAGATAGGTTGGACCCCAGTTGTTAAAGGCTATTAATGCCAAAAAGAAAGGTCAGTATTTGGTCCAGGAGGGATAGAGAGCCAGTGGAATTTATTGAGAAAGCTAGTGACAGACCTGTGCTTTAGGAATATCACCTTGACAGCTGTGTTAATGAGATGTTGATAGGAAAGATGGCTGAGATTCTGCAAGACAGACAGTATCCAAAAAGATCTTGATAAGTTAGAGCATCAGGTGGGCTCTATTAAGATGCAAATCAATAAGGATAAATATAAAATCTTACACTTTGGTTCAAAAAAGTCAGTTTCACAAGTGCAGGATGGCAAAGATATGGTTAGGTGAGAGTTTTTCAGAAAGAAATCTGAGGTTTTAGTTAACTGCAAACACTATAAATCAACTGTGTTCTGTGCCTACTAGAAAAATAAATATGGTCTTAGGTTTCTTTAAGAGAGGCATAGTTTCCAGAAGTAAGGAGACAATAAGTCTGCTCTGGGAAGACAACATTTGTATTATTGTGTTCCATTGAAGGACCTTTTTAAGCTAGAGACCATACAGAGGGCAAACAGCAGAGTAGGCTAAAGGAACTGGGATTTGAGCCAGGAGAAGATACAAGGTAGCAGGAGAGCTTTCTTTCTTCAAGTCTTCAAAAATTAGCTTTCCTTTTTGCCTAAGAAGACAAAACCAGGAGCAGTGGCTGGAAGTTAAAAAAGACAAATTTTTATTTCTCACGAATAGTCTAACAATTAGAGCTATCAAAAATGGAATGGCTGCCTCAGGAGTCAATACATACAGACCGAATGTTGAGAATGCTATAATTGTTTGAAATACCCTTGGAGTGTGGGTTGGACTAGATAGCTGTGGAGATCCCTTCCAGCTTGAAAACTCTGTTATTCTGTGAAATGAGTATTGTCATTTTCAAAGTATTCACCTTTGGAGACTATCTGCTTGTCCCCGCAATACTTCCTAGCATAGTACCTTGTACATACTAAGCAATCAATAAATATTTATTGAACTAATTGTAAACTTCATTTGGTAATTCATAGATATTGTATTCCTAGAGAGTACCACAGTGCTATATACAGTAGCCAAAATTAATTTGTTTATTTTTCCTTGTACTGATAATGCCCAAATTTATATAGTTTATTTCTTAAGATTTTCAGTTGTAATGATTTTCATTTTCTGACTCTTTTTAAAAGTTTGATATGCTTAAGATGGAAACTGTAATAATGATTGCTAGAGACAGATTGTAGAAAATCAAACTGTTCATTACACTCAACGAATATTAGAAGGTTTTCTATAATAATTCAGATTTGGAGAGGTTCTTGGGAGCATGACATCATAGAACTAGATGTGGGATATTCCTTAGAAATCATATATATAATTCAGTCTCCATATTTTAATTCTTTTGTTGTTTTAATACTTTTTAAATTTTACACATTATTTTCCAAAATGCCCTCCTTTATAACAAAGAAAATATTAAGCAAAACCAATTAACCTGGCAACTGTATCTGACCAAATAAGGAACATTCTGCATCAAGGCCCCTTGCTTCTGTACAGATAGATAGGAATGGCATTTCATCATCAGTGTTATTGTCCCAAGACTGGTCATTATATTTACCCGTGCTTCAGCTGCCTTTCAGTGTTGCTTTCATTTTCATTAATGTAGTCATTTTAAATATTATTCCCCCTCCCTCTCTACCCGTTCATACGAGTCTTCCCATACTTTTCTGAATTCCTTATATTAATCATTTCTATTACATGCATATACCATAGGTTTTTAGCCATCCATCCTCCAGCTGATGGGCAACTACATTGTTTCCACTGTTTGGTACCACAAAAAAGTGCTTACATGAATGTTTTATTATATAATGAGCCCTTTCTGTCTTTGATTTCCTTGCAGTATAGTATAGTTGTAAAATCACTAACTCAAAATATATGAACAGTTTAGTCACTTTTCTCACAAAAATCAAAATTATTTTGGAATGGCGCAGTTCCACCAGCTGTGTATTTTAGACCCTCTTATACTCACCACTTAAGTCTTCTGTCATCTTTTTGAATTTGATTGGTTTGAGTTGAAATTTCAATGTTTAATCAAGGTTTTCTTATTATTAGCAAGTTGGAGCATTTTACCATATTGTCACTGATAGTTGCAATTCTCCCTCTCTAGACTCTTCATATCCTTTGAGTGTTTAACTATGGAGAAGTGACTTTTGTTCTTAAATATTTGTGTGAGTTCCCTTTAGATCACAGATACCTATCTCATGTTATAGGAATGTTTGAAACTTTTCTTTTCTAATTGAGGTTTTTTCCCTTTCTTCCTACTTTGATTTTCTTTAGGCAAAAGATTTTTATAGTTTTATATTTTATGATCACGTCTATCTTTTTTTAAATCTTTCTCTTCTAATTGTTTTTAATAATGTGAGCATTTAGATTTAAATCATTGTAGATTTATTGTTTATGTAATCTTATTCTATGATCTAAAATGCTAGTTTAACCTAATTTCTGCCAAACTGCCTTTTGATATTTTTTTCCTCAGTTCTTGTTAAATTATGAATTTTTCTCCCAGTAGTTTATGCTCTTGCAACCTCCTTATTTTATAGAAGAGTCATTTGAGGCCCACAGAGTTCAAATGACTACCAATGTTCACACAGGGACTAAGCTTACTGACAGTGTATTACACATTTTAAATGCTGTATTTAAAATTATGAAATGTTGAAAGTCAACACAGGAAAGTATTTTAAACTCTACAAATCTGACACATATTTGTGATCTCCATAGTATACAAAACTATCCCCTGCTATTTCCTCAAGTTAGGCATGGTAACCTGAAGTAACCCATCCTCCATGAGGATGATCCCTGTTCTCCCCTTCCTTCTTACCTGCTTCTCAGTCCACCTGGGCAACTGCTATTTTGGATATTCAAGAATGCAGCAAATGTAAAAATTCATAAACTATGCAAAACATTTATTCCTTATTACTTTGTACCTTTCCAATTTTTATATATATGTGTGTATGTATATATATATAACTGCATACATTTCTGGTCTTAGTTTTACGGTCTGTTATTAAAAGTATGTCATGTTTTATAACAGATGAAGTAAATTGTGCTTTTTCTTTAGATTGTTCTTCAGATGTTCCTAATGTGTAGGGATAGTGAAAGAGAGGGGAAGGGAGGTTGTGTTTGTAGAAATAGGAGGAGAGAAAGAGAGAATGAGAGAGAGATTTTCCTATTATAGGCTATGTAAATTTTTTTATGTGTTGTATCCTCTTTACTATAGTTTGCCTCCTATTGTACGTCATTATGGAACCTCTTTCCAGTGACTTATTTCTATTTTTAGAAATAAAAAAGTAATAAAAAATTTAAAGTCTAATTAAATTTTTAAATTTTGAAACAGTATCCTTAAATGAATACGTGTACCTGTTTTGTTTTGGGTTTTTTGTATACAGGAAAAAGAGGTGCTCTCTTACTATATAAACCAGGAATCATAAAGATATAATAAAACATTTGAGCGATTTTATCTCCCTGGTGAGCAGTGGACCTTAACAGATTGATTTGGTTTATCAGTTCCTCTTCTGGGGTAAGTATGGAATATTTATTCTCTCTGTGTGTCTCTTCCTTTCTCTCTCTCCCCTCCCATTTTGAACTTAAGTGTCTGTGCTCTTTCTCTGAATACAGTTAATTTTCAGTAAATATAAAAGACATTTGACAATTGCAGATTAAAATACCAGACATCATCAGATAGGCAAAAGTATTATTCAGTTTAGAGTCAATTGTTACATTCCTTTATGCCTGTTACATGCTGAAGACCCTACTTAAATCGTTGACTTCCATTGGGTGTAACAAATAGTAGGTATCAGAATGTGTCATTAAGGAAGGACATAGTTCCACCAGAGATTACAATTAAATATGTGCCTCTATTAAGAAAAAAACATCTAATTAATCTAAAAACTCAGTTTGTATCAACAAAAATATTGCCTGTTTCATGGACCACAGACCAAGTTAATAGTATACTTTTGTTTAGCACCTAATGATACATAAATAAGTGCTACATTCCATTAAAAACCAAGTCTCTTTTTCACCCATTGTATATATGGCATACTTATAACCTTGAAAGAACATTAGCTGTTAAACTTCCAAATGAGTAACTGTGACTATTTCCCCAAGTCTTTTAATTTAAGTTAAATTAAAATTTAAGAATAACTTTGTGTTTTCAAAATGTGGTTGATATTTTAGTTTATTTTCTTACTTGAAATAACTTGGCGTTCCAGATCTAAAATGTTATAAAGAATTAATATCTGAGTAGCTTTTTGGTCATGATGAAAATAATTCATCTCCTTTTGAATTTTCAGTAGGATTCTATAGTATAAGTCGGAGCTAAGACTTAGAGATAGCCTATGTAAATGGTTTTTTGTGATCTGTGTCTCCAGGACACTAACATTTATTCTTATAAATGTATAAATTTTTAGTGCCAGAGACTTCTGCTTTTCACGTCATTTTGTTTTGTAATTCGTCAAATAGCACATCTAATAGTGAAAAATCAAAATCTCCTGTAGACACAGATAATATAATCTTTAAATTGGGAGTGAGAAGACTGGAGTAGATGTACAGTTTTCAACCTTTGCCTTAGAGCTTTGTCCTAGCTATAATGTATGAAAGACATCAAAGGGTATAAACTAGATATGTAGCAAATAATATATTGTAATACAAAGAGGACAGAATACTGTCAGGTGGTTTTTCTTCAATTAACTAAATGGGACACAAAACAGAGGAAGAAGATAAGTAAATGGTAGTGCACACTGAGAAGGAGAGATTGAAATCAAGAAATAAGTTATGTAATTTGAATGGAATCATATCATTTTTATAGTTGGAAAGGACCATGGAGATCTTTAATTCAACTGCTCATTTTGCAGAAGGGTTAAGTAATTTGCTCAGTCATCGAGCTAATTATCCCTTCTGACATCCCACACTCTAGAATTTTAGCCCCCTGAGGTAAAGAATTGTTTCTGTTTTGTCTTTGCGTCCCTTATGCCAAGCACAGTGTCTCATTCACAGAAGCTGTGTAATCTAAGGTCATTTGAACTATACTGAATTAAGGACATCTAGGTATGTAGTAGATAGACTTCTATACATGGAGTCAGGAAGACCTGATTTTGGATTCTGCCTCAGACATTTATTAACTGTGTGACCATGGGAAAATCACCCAATCTCTCGATTTCTTCATTTGTAAAATGATGAGTTGGACTCAGCAGCCTCTCAGGTCAGTCACTATTGCTCTAAATCTGTGATCTTGTGCTGTGAATTAAAGTTATTGTCAGAGTTAGAATTAAAACGCAGGTCTCCTCATTCCCAAATCAGTGTTCTTTCTTCTTATTATTAAGACTTTCAGAAAATTCCTCTGTACAATTAGTATTTAAAGGTTGGAAAAAATAAGTCTTATTCCTAGATTTTGTTTTTACATCTCTAATTCCTACTATATCTCTCCTGTCCCAACCCAGAGAACCATCTTGTGTAACAGATAATGGAAAAGAGAAAAAACAGTTCAGCAAAACTAATATATCAGCCACTTCAGGCACTAAATTCAGTGTTCACACCCATTGTCTTCCACCTTTGCAAAGAAAGGAGGGAGGTGCATATCTGTTCTTTGGGGCCAAAGTTGGTCATTATAATTTTACAACATTGTTTCTATTTTTTTGTTGTTTTTCTTTCCACTTAACATTATTGTCATCTTGAATGTTTTTTTACTCTTTCAGCATATTTCACTTTGCATCAGTTAATTTAAGTCTTCTTGTGCTTCTCCATATTCTTCATATACATTATTTCTTTTGTGGCAGTAATATTCCATTATGTTCATGTATCTAATTTATTTAGATGTCATCTAATTCAAGAGTCAGCAAATGATAGCCTGCAAGCTAAGTCAAGCCCACCAAGTGCTTTTGTACCCATGAGCTAAGAATGTTTTTTATATTTTTTAAGTGGCCTTTTTGGATCATAGTTTGACAACTCCTGGCCTGGTTGATGGCCATCAATTTTGTTTCCATATAATAGAGAGATAGGTAGGTAGATAGGTATATAGGACCTTTATTAAGTACTTACTCTGTGCCAGGCACTGTGCTAAGTGTCAGGAATACAAATGCAAACAAGCAAGACAGCTCCACACCTCAAAAAGCTTATAGTTATAATGGGGAAGAAATAAAGGGGATCTAAAAGTACAGTGGAGTAGGGTCCTATATTCACTTTAGCATGACATAGAAATGGCAAATAAGTGCAGTGGAGGCCTGGGCCCTGGCAAAATGAAGCAAAATCTCCCGTCAGAGTGGGGATGTGGTTCTAGATGATTGGTCCAAGTGGAGAGGGCATGTCACAGAGATAGCCAAAAGTTAGAGAAGACCTGAACTTGGCCAGATAAGGCAAAAGTCATGGATAGTTCCAGGGGAAGAGTCCAAATGCTGCTAAAAATATTTTGCATATTGGGCCTTCTTCCCACCCCGTTTTTTATTTCTTGGTGATATAGGATTGGATAAAGTTTCTGGGCAAGGACATTTTAGTCACTTTCTTAGCTTAATTCTGAATTCCCTATAGAATTTTTGAGTCGTCACAACTCTACAACGTGTTAATGTGTTTACCTTTCTGCAACCCCTCCAACTTTGACGATTCTCCACCTTCTAGCATTTTGCCAGTTTACTCTGTGTAAGATGAAACTCATAGATGTTTTGATTTGCAGAAATCTTTTATACAATTGTTAATAGTTTATTCTTCTTTTGGGAACTGTTTGTTCATATCATGTGACAACTTACCTATTAGAAATGACTACTGGTTATGTATGTTGTGTTAGCTGCAGTATACAAAGTAAATTCACAAAAATCAGCATTTTCCCATGGCAGTAACAAAATCCAGGAAGAAGTAATAGAAAGGGATGTGCTACTCAAAATAGTCATAACATGCATAGAAAACTTGAAATTCAGCCTACCAAGAGACTTGTATAGATTCCATTGCAGAACACTGAAAGATATAACTGCTTAAATAATAGGATTGATATTCAGTGCTTAAAGCTGGACTGTATCACTACAATAAAAATGACAACAGAACTTGTTAATGTATGAATTTAGTACTTTACCAGACTTTCATGAGGATACTTTTATAGTTCTAGATAAATAGTGACAAAATTCACTCAGAGGAACAAGTCTGGTATCTCAAAAGATACTAATGAAAATAAATAATAGTAATGAGGTAAAATACCATTTCATAATCTCAAATTATATTCTAAAGCTGTGATGTAAAACTCAAATAGAAACTATTGCAGCAAGCTGCATATTGACTTAGAATACCACAAATTAACATTATCTATATTATATTATATTTTTATGTATTTTATTAAACATTTCCCAATTACATTTAATCATAGCCCTGCTGTGAGTATGATACCTCTGCTCTAAAACACTAATCTTTAAAATTATCTGGTACTGAATTAAAAATATTAAAGTAAATCAGTGGAAGAGACTATATAAAGAAGAATTTTTAAAAATTGAACTCAACCCAATGTTTCCTAAACCTGAAAACATAAATTACTTGGGAGTAAACTCCCTATTTAAACAAGAATTGATGGAAAAATGAGAAAGAAGTTTTTGCTAAAACAGTTGGGCAAAATTAGTCTTCAAAAAACATTAGTCTTCAAAAAACTTCAAGGACAGAGGTAATCACAAAAGATAGATTAGATCATTTAGAGTTCATAAAGTTAAACAGCTTTTGTACCAATAAAATCAGTGGACAAGAAAGGAAGTGATAGGTTACAGGAGAAAAAAATCTTTTGCTTCAAATGTCTTTGATTTCTAAGATACATAGGTAATTATTATTCTTAGCTTAACCATTACTGAATTAGACAAAGTGACAAGCAGAGAGAAGAGAATTTCTAAAGTCAGTATTAGAAATAAAGCTCTGAAGAGAGGTTTACAAGATAGATGGAAAGAATTTTTTTTTTTTGCGAACCTGAATAGGAGAAAGTAATAGGATCAATAAAAGAAGTATGTGATTGCCAGAGTCTGTTTTATCTTCTCTTTTCCTCATTGCTAAATATTTGAATTAATATTTGTAAACATTTGTTTATACCTATAAAGAGAAAAAGTCATGAGATATATATGTGTGTGTGTATAAAACACATCTGTATCCCTATATAATTGTAAATTAGCTTTTATTTCCATTATCTCCTCCTTCCCTGTCACCATTAATTCTTCTCAGTTTTTTGTTCTGTATTTTTTTGGTATTGAAATACTTCTTTATAAATTCAATAGAAAGCAACTGATGGAACAGATTGACTGTCTAAAATTTCATGATTCCTTCAGCTAATCCTCTAAAGATATATATATGAATTAAACAAACCCAGAAATTGTAGAAAGGAGTTGATTTTTAAATAAATTTTCAAGGTATTTAATTCTAAATAGCAATCACAGTTTTAGCTTCGGGCTTTTCTAAGAGGTTGTGAATAATTATTAGGTAAGATTATAGGCCCCAGGCAAAGCCTTAGGATGTTAGTCACTTCTGGCTAGTCAGTCATCCTCGGGGCCTCATAATGACCCTTCTAAA